TTCCTGAGCACAAGCTTTCATGGTATTGAGTGGTGCCGTGCAAGCTGCCAAGGAAGAAAAATAATCCATGGTCCTATCCGGTCATGATGCCTGAAAACCACAATGATGAGCAGAATGGCAAGACGCCCCTAAATAGTGGTAGCCAACTGCTGTTGAATTGGACCAAAGTTCTGCTTTAATAGAAGGGAATTCATGCCTGGTCCTAGAAACTGCCCCTGGCTGTTGAGGCCATGGGATCTAGAGGAGAAAATACTTTGCCACTTGCCCCAACCAGTGAATTTTAAAAAATTCAAACAAGATACATATTTCTTTCTTTCTTTTTTTTTATTTTTATTTTTCGAGACAGGGTTTCTCTGTGTAGCTTTGCGCCTTTCCTGGATCTCGCTCTCTAGACCAGGCTGGCCTCGAACTCACAAAGATCCACCTGCCTCTGCCTCCCGAGTGCTGGGATTAAAGGCGTGCGCCACCACCGCCCGGCCACATATTTCTTTCTTAATTCTACGGGATGACAAAGGCTGAAATGATTCCAACAGAACTGTTCACCCAGCTCAACTACATCACAGCTAAGGGCCAATTTTTATTGATATGTTATTAGAAGTTAGAGATTGCATTTGCTCAGCCCATGCCAGCTGAGAAGCTGTGGGCTCATCATCTCTTTCTGTTTCTGAGAAAGTTTATTTCCCTCCTTAAACAAAACTGAGGTTCTTCCTTGACATGAAAAGAGTGACTGACTCATGGCCCCCTGGGAAACAAAGGACGCAGGTCTTCTGCTGACCCCACCTCAGGCTCAGAGATAGTTCCTGGAGAGCACATTCCGAGTTCAACCTTGGCTTCTGCTAGGCAGCTTTTACACGGTTTCATTACTGAAGATGACAGCTTAACCCTGGATATTGTTTTGTTTTCTAAATTTGTGCTTATAAGAAAGCCAAGGGAAAGAATTAGATGGATCTGCTTAAATCTATCATGAATTTGCTCCTGGGAGAGTAGTTTGGAGCACAAGACAGGAGCTGATTCATAAATAGAATGAGTAAATGTTTGGTGTGTGGCTGCATTACCGTGCATCTTCCCTGATCTTGTATTTTATGTGTGAGGATGATCTGTTAGCCTCTAGCTCCCTCTATTACCTCACAGCTCCTTGTAGTAAATTGTTTTCCTTAGGGCCTGTGTCCAGACAGATTATCTTAAGCAATCTGTCTTTAACACGTCTTAAAATGATCCTAGGGTTCCTCCGTAATTCTTACCATTCTAAAAGTCTGTCTCCTCTGGATGGAATGCCTATCATTTTATAATGCCATGGCATCTGTTCATAAATCTTTACTGTATGTGCTACTGTTTAGATCGGCAGACTCTGTTCTTATTACCTGTGACATTTTCATCAACTTCCTTTGCAGAGTGACATTATTGCCATCCAGCCTGAGGAAGACTGAATACCTGACATTTCCCACATCCATTTATCAGAATCATTCAGAGCTTGCCTCTCCCTCACTCAAAGTATAAGTTCAAAGGCTTTCTTTTCTTTTGAATCTATTTCCTAGAGAACTTTTCTCTAGCAATTGTCTCATTAACGAGATACTGCCTTAGGCACAACAGCTCTGTCTGGTCTGCGTTCTGACTTAGTGAAATCGTGTTTGAACTCTTTATCATTAAACTGTAAGGAAATGCCCAAATCTATTGCTGAGGAAACAGGATTTTTTTTTTTTTTTAAAGCATGACTTGTATTACTGGTCCTGAAACAAATGGTAATACATAGGACGTACATGGTCACTTATGCTAATTTCACTAATTTTTTATTGATTCAACCAATTTACTAGGATTACTGATTGTTAACTCATTCATTTATTTATCCCATGTGCTGTTTTTGTTTGTTTGTTTGTTTTTTGTTTTGGTCAACTTGACATAAACTAGAGTCGTTTTGGAAGAGGGAACTTCAGTTGAGAAAATGCCTCTATCAAATTGGCCTGTATGCAAGTCTGGGGGCATTTTACAGAGCAATGACCGATGGGGGAGGGCCCAGCCCGCTGTGGGGGGTACCACTCCTGGGCAGGTGGTCCTGAGTTGCACACAAATGCACACTGTGCAAGCCGTGGGGAGCAAGCAGTGATCAGCTCCCCCATGGCGTCCGCTTCCGTTCTCTCTTCCACATTCCTGCTCGGAGTCCCCGCCTTCCGACACTGAGGAAGCGTGACTCAAATGAAACCTTTCTCCCCAAGTTTCTTCCGGTCACAGTGACACTGTGTTTGTCATAGCAATAGACAGCAGACTAGACCACGCCCACAACTCAATTGAAATGATCATGGAATACCCATTCCACTACAAGCTGGAGCCCTAATTACTAGTTTGTGACACAAAATTAGAGCATTGTTGATTCATTTTTTATGTGTTATTAATTCATGATAAACATTTTTTCTGTTTTCCCCATTAGAAACATTGTAACTATTTTCTAAGCTACTTCCATCTCTGAGTTAATTCCTCTGTCCCTCTGTGCCTTACTCCCTGAGAAAAGGTCTCTCACTGGCCTTTGAGCTTCTGGCTAGATTGGCAGCCAGCAAGTCCCAGCCATCCTCCTGAATGCCTGTCCTCATGTTTACATGCATGGCTCCTACCCTCCGAGCCATCTTCTCAGGCCCTCTGCAGTAATTTTTAATATGGAAGCATGACTACATTCCTTGAATGACCACATTGTACCGTTCCTTTAATACACTGGTGGACAAGAAATTCTGTATCTTTGTGTCTTTGTGTATGTGATCACATATAGAGCATAAATGTTACATGTACATGTGTGTGGACGGATAGATAGATATAACTACATATCTGCCATCAGTATCACACTCTCTGATTGTGACTCAGCTCCAAGTAGCTTGTACTTTGTTTTTTTTCAAACCCCAGATTAATTTAGTACAATAAAGAAATTAAGTTTAATTTTCATGGAAATTAAAATTTTTTAAAAATTTATTTTAGTTTTATTTATGTATATGTGTTCCATTTCCTTTTAAACACAGTATTTACTTAGTAGAATGTTCGAAAACATCTAAGAGCTTTTATTTCTTGTGGGCTTTCTTTCTCTTATGATTTTTTGTATTACTGGCATCTATGGATGGTGTCCTATGACCTGATTACCTTCTGTATGGCTCCACCTTTTAAAGATTCCACTGTCTCTCACATTGCCATTCTGCTGACCTAGCACATGAACCATTAGGAGAGAAACCATATGCAAATTGTAATCCCCAGCCAAGAACTGTCTCATCGGAAACCAAGCCAACGAACGGGACTGTGTCTTTAAGTTCTGTGTTGTGCGATGAATGGCTAGCAGACATGGAAAGGGAGGATAATAAAAAGAAGCTGAGCATATCACTGAAAACAAAGGTCAGTGGTCTGGATGCCTGCTTCAGGTCGGGCATTCAACTGGGCACTTTCCATTCTTTCTCTTCTCTCCATAACTGCCCCGAGTGTTTGGGTTTTACTGTTTTACAAATGAGTCAACTGAGGATCCGCAGATAAGCTGCTCACTGACAGCAGGAGAAAGCGGCAAGGTCAGAGTTCAAATTCACATCTTCCTGACCTTCCTCTATCGTACCAGCAGCCTGAGATTCAAGCCTCAGCTGCACATTTTTTTTGAGACACGATCTCATTTACCCCCAGGCTGGCCTCAAACTTACTCTAGAGTCAAGAATGAGTTTCTGATCCTTCTGCCTTTACCTTCTTAGTACTGAGAATACAGGCTGGCACCGCTCTTTCTGGTATAATTCAGTATTGGGCCTTGAACGCAGGCCTTGTGTATTCTGAGCAAGCCCTCCACCAATCGATCCATACATAACCCAGACCTTCGCTGCACGCGTTTAGAAAGCCATTGTCTTATCCCTTCCAGCCTCACTGACCTCAAGGGTAGAGTGGAGACGGCGTGAATCAGATTCTCGGCCCATCCCAGGACTTTGTGAAGATGTCACGAAGGGATGATGGTGGTTTTGCAGATGGCTACTCTCTACTGCTATCAGTTGTCTCATGCTGGCCTGGAGGAGTTTCCACGTCTAAACAGAAGACGTTTGACAAGCAATTTCTGAAATTTCATGCTCTCAGTCGCACAACAGACTTTTCTATTTTAAGCATTCAGCTTTCTCTTTGGCTGCCGAGCACCAACTTTGACCAAGTTTCTGTTCCTCAAATCAGTTTCTTTATCTGAACCAGGTAGGAGTATCACATAAACTTGCTATTGTCTAGCTTTGTGTAAACAGTCCTTAATGTGGGCAGGTAGAAAGAGACCTTGGCCGGGCGGTGGTGGCACACGCCTTTAATCCCAGCACTGGGGAGGCAGAGGCAGGCGGATCTCTGAGTTCGAGGCCAGCCTGGGCTACAGAGTGAGATCCAGGACAGGCACCAAAACTACACAGAGAAACCCTGTCTCGAAAAACCAAAACAAAAAAAAAAAAAAAAAGAAAGAAAGGAAAAGAAAAGACAAGGAGGAGACCTTGGCTGGCTGTCATGGGTCTGGGACGGGCCCAGCCCCGGTGTTCAGCAGCCAGGGGATGTTGGATGAACCACTCAGCCACCCTTTCTTCTCAGATCTCCACATCTGCAAATTGATCGAGGGGGCTCTTTCTTGGGCATTCCCTTGGTGGATGATGTAGGAAGGGAGGAAGGCGGGAGGCTGGGGTGTGGACCGCCGGCGGAGGATATAATTAACATGCGTGCAGTCTGTTGCACTGTCTGGCTGGGGACGGGAGTCATCTCTTCGTCCAGGGTCTCCATGCTGTGTGTATTGTCCACTCATTAGTGAGGAGCTACCTCAGTTGTCCAGTCCACCATCTAGGTTGCTTCTAGTCAAGTAATTCTCACTTTACTTGATAATGCCCCCCCCCAAGTGCAGGAATAGCGGTAATGGCAAATTTATTATTTATAATAGTATGCCATTATGGTTGTTCTCTTTTATTATGAGTTATTGGTACGTCATTTTTTCTATATCTAGATGTTTGACAAGCAACTTCTGAAATTTCATGAGACTGAAATTTCTGTGACTTAAATTTTATTGAGGTACACATGCACAGGAAAAAAATGTGGTATCCAAAGTGGTTGGTACTAATTATGGTTTCAAGCATTTGCGGGAGATCTTGGAATCTCTCTCCTCTTGATAGAGACCTGCCAGCCAGATTCCCACCATTATGGTAAAGTGCATGAGATAATTAAGTTACTAAGAGTTTCAGGGGAGTTTTCAGTTCATGATTGGTTAGCTCTGTTGCTCTGGGCCTGCGGCAAAGCATCATATAGTGCAAGTATCGACTGGATCAAATCACTTATTTCACTGCTGAAAAGGAAAAGAGGAAAAAGACTTGGGGCTACATTTCCCCAATCCCCTGAGAGGGCATGTTCCCAAGGACATAAGGACTTCCCATGAGACCCCTCATCCTACAGAACCAAACACCTCTCAGTGGTGGGTGCCATCTTTGGGACCAGGCCTTTAGCATACAGGCCTTTCTGTGACAGACATGATCCAGGCTGCATCAAGGGGGCTACTGTAATAGCAGTGCTCACCCCCAAGGACCGTGGGAGGAGGCGTTCAGTGAATGGTTGTGGTCGGCTTATCTGTGAGAGCAGACTCAGCTAGTTTTCTGGGCAGTTTCCTTCCCCTCGGCCGAGGCCCGAATGTAGCGGCACCCTGAACTTGGATTTCCAGTCTCTAGGAGGAGTGGGACGAGAGAGGGGGGTGTGGAGAGAGCAGAATCTCTCCAGGCAGGGAAGGAAGGACTGGCCTGCGATGTCTCACCACACTGGACAACCACGTGAACGAATTTTCACATGTGTGTGTGGGGGTGGTGGTGATGGTGGGGGTTGGGGGAGGGCAAAGGGAAAAGTCGCTCTTGCCCCAGGTCAAGCTGAACTGAAGGAATTTCCCTTTGAGCTGAGGTGACTGATAGCCATAGCCACCAAGGCTCACTTACGTGGCTGTATCATTTATCTTGGTCTGATAATCCATGTTGGTTTTCCTTTCCTGAGGGCAAACACTAGCTTGATCATCACCTGCACTGCCTAGAAGGGAGGAAGCTTCAGCCTCCATGGCTTTTCTTTGGAGGTTTCCTGCTTCCTAAAGACCTCCAGCAGCGGGGGGAGGCATATACTGTGACCTCGGAGGTCACGGGTGTCCTTATCTGTGACTTTAAGACTTGCAATTGTTACATGGGATTCTATCCCACTGATGCAATGCATTCCATCTGTTTATTCACTTAGTGATGCTCCTGGGCTTTGAGGTGGATGGGCATAGCGACTGTCTTCTCACTGGCCCAGCTCTCCTCATGCATACAGATGACAGGGTGCTGTGGAGTGAATGGGTGTTCCTCCTTCTAAGCTCAAGTGTTGAAACTGACATCCCTGCCCCCGTGTGATGGCATTAGGAAGCAGGGCTTTGGGGAGGTGAGTAGGTCATGGAAGAGGAGCCCTCACGAACGAGACGCATGTCCCTAGAAAAGAGCCCCAGGGAGCACTCTCTGAGTCCTCTTTCCATCATGTGTAGACAGAAGTCAAGTGTCCACAACTTGGAAGAAGGCTGTCCTTCGAAACGGAATGCGCCTTCACCCTAAACTTGGACTTCTAGTCTCTAGAGTTGTAAGAGAGAAATTTCTGGTGTGTGTGTGTGTGTGTGTGTGTGTGTGTATGTGCACAAGGGGTACATATGTTCATATGTGCTTGTGTGAGACTAGAAGTCAACCCTGGGTGTTTTTCCTCAGATGCCATCCACCTTGTACTTTTTTTTTTCTTGAGACAAGGTGGCCTAGAATCCACCAAGTAGGCAGGCCAATGAGCCTCAGCATCCACCTGTTTCCACCATACCCAGCTCCTTTGAAACATGGGTTCTGGAAATGGGACTCAGATTTTCATGCTTTTAAGTCAAGGACTTTACCAACTGAATTATTTCCCCAAGTCCCAATTTCTACTCTTTTTTTTTTCTCCAATTTCTACTCTTTAAGCCACCAAGTCTGTGGTATTTTGTGTTTGCAGTTGGAGCTTACTAAGACAGAAGAAGGTCCTGCAATCACATTCTTGGTTCTTATTTATGGTCTGCAGTTGTCACAAATTAAAGACTCACATCTGCTGAGTCAGCCCATGCCACGCCATCAGCATCTACTGAGACAGGCTATGCCACGTTATCAGCATCTGCTAAGACAGCCCATGCCACGCCATCAGCATCTGCTGAGACATCCCATGCCACGACATCAGCATCTACTGAGACATCCCATGCCACGACATCAGTATCTGCTGAGACAGTCCATGCCACACCATCAGCATCTGCTAAGACAGGCCATGCCACACCATCAATATCTGCTAAGACAGGCCATGCCTCACCAT